AAAAAAAAAAAAAAAAAAAAAAAAAAAAAGTCATAAAACAAATCCGAAAAAAACATATGTGATGCAACAGTAAAAAATAAGCAACATTTGCCTGAGCATCATCTTCAGATTCTTATTATAATTTGAGAAAAATATATATCCATATTCGTACGAGGGTGCGTACAAGTGGCAATGCAGGTTTAAACATGCTCTTATTATAAGCGAGATACGAATACACAAACTCCTATCCCTAAACTACAAACACATGATCACTGACAATTGTTGATCGATCTTCAAGAACACTTCTCCCCACTAACAAAAAAAACGCTCCTGCCAAGAAAGCTAACCTCGATATATTGTTGTATTCAGGGTCACCAGCCCGTACGTACGGAGGTCCCCGGGCAGACCTCCGTACGTACGGGCGTTCGGGGTCCCGTACGGGGTCCGAACCCCAACGGCGTTTGGCCCCCGCCAAAAAATATTTCAGGGCCTAAAAATCATTAATTTTTTCTGAATTGCTTTTTGTGAGTTCTCTATGATGTGAGGTACATGCCTATTAATTTTCAAGGCATTTGGCTAAGCCAAATAAGAATTAAAAATCGCCAAAAATGGCCGTGTCAAAACGTGCTCGCCCACGTATTTTTTCACTTTTTACTTTTTGTTTTAACTTTAGATCGGGGTCTATACAATTTTATTATTTTTTGAAAATTTTTAAGTCGGTTTTGTATTATTTGAAGTACATATCTGTAAATTTTCAAGGCATTTAGCTACGCCAAAACAAAATGAAAAATCACCAAAGATGGCAGTGTCGAAAACATGCCTGTGCACTCAATAAATTTAATTCTCTTTTTATTATTATTTATTTTTATTATTAGTATTTGTTTTTCGTATTTTATTTTTATTTCCAATTTGGTAAGGAATTCGGATGTAATGCTCAGGCAAATCTCCTCACAGAAATAATAAAGGAGGGAGCTTCGTTTAAAAAGATTCCCTAGGCATTTTTTCCCAAATTCCCTCTAAAAATTTTCCACCAGCCGAAGTAAGATCTGGGACCCTTGGGCCTCTATTTTATCGCTTTTAGATTAAGGGCGGTCATGAGGTTCCGATCACCCATCTGGGGGTTTGCCGGTTTGTACTGCGCTTGCTGATCACCTTTTTCGGTTCCCTGATTCTGTACATACGCAACTTCGGGTATGTACTGCGCTTGCTCATTACTCGTTTCGGTTTGTTCTTAAGGCCCCGATCACTTGTTTGGTTCGCTGTTCTGTACCTACGCAGCTTCGGGTCTGTATTGCACTTGCTGAGTACAGGCCAAACCCCTTCGATTTAAGGAGAGCTTAAGTAGGTTCTTCGGTTCGATTTTTAGGCTCCGGTCACCTGGTTGGGGGTCCGCTGGCTGTACCGATCTCAAGTGGCTACTGAGGGTGGGATTTTTGCGGCGGGTCCTACATCTGGCCTCTACTGTGCCGCTATGCCATCAGAGCCTTTCGTCGCAAAGTATTTAGATCCTGTTTACGGACGTTCTCAATCTCTCTGCCGAAGTATACTGACATTTCAGCGCCAGTGCACATTCCCTCCCTCGCTTACGCCACCCCTGCAGCGTTTTGCTTTCTTTAGTATGATCCAATGGGCTCCATCTCCGTGTTCTTCCCGCCCTCAACTTCCTGATCTTCCCTTCCCTCTCTCTTTCTCTCTCTCTCTCTCTTTCTCTCTCTCTCTCTCTCTCTCTCTCTCTCTTTC